ATTTAACCAAGTACATAGCTCAATTAAAAATAAAATAAACAAAGTTCAAACATGCATAAAAATAAAGAAAACAGGAGATGTTGTCATCACTCCCCTCAAAGGCATCTGAATCTTCCTCTAAATCATCCTTTGCCATGGCTTCGGCTTCGAACGTGCCACCTCCTCCACTAGCTTGGGCCTGGTCCCTAGGCCAAGACATGCGAGTGATGAACTCATCAAGTGAAATGCACTGAAGTCCCGGAGAAGCAGCATACAACCTAAAAACACAAAAACACTCAAAACAAAATCAAATCAAAATCGCACAATTAAATGAACTAAAAAAAAGGAAAAACTGGGTTGCCTCCCAGTAAGCGCTTGTTTAACGTCATTAGCTTGACACCACTATGCTCAATTTAGATTCTTGATATTGGCGTGCTTCTTTCATTCATCACACCAACATAATTTCAATAGCTTCCTAGTCACCAACTTGACTCTCCTAAAATAAGGAGCCTCAATCTCAAGAACTCCCTTTGCTTTGATAGCCTTGATAACCCATAACCTGTTCTTGAATTTCACTGGTTTTCCGGGTTTGGGTTCGTTATTTTCTAGCATATAGTCTTGGTGCACTAGTTTCTCTTCATTATCTCCATCCTCTTCCTTTACTTTTGGAGAAAAACAATTATGGCTCCTCTTGACCAAATTGGCAGCTTGATGAGGTAGACTAGTCACTAATAGAACTTCATCTGTTATTTTAGGGCTAGTCTGTTTTACTTGAATTGGCTGCACATCATTAAAGACATTAAAAGTCACCTCTTCATCTTAATTTTTCAACGTTAAAACTCCATCATCTACATGAATGACAACCTTGGTTGTCTTCATGAATGGTCTTCCAAGAATGAGAGGGATCTCTACATCTTCCCCCATTTCCATCACTACAAAATCAAATGGGAATTTGAGTTTGTCAATCTATATCACAACATTTTCCACTACACCATAAGGATGCTAATGGACCTTTCTGCCATTTGCAAGATCATTCTTGTAGGTTTGACCTCAAGACCACCAATCTTCTTGAGCATAGATAGGGGTATTAGATTGATGTTAGCCCCTAAGTCCACTAGAGCCTTCCCTATATCATGATTCCCAATGGTGCAAGGGATATTGCAACTTCCTAGATCTTTGAATTTTGGAGGGAGAGTCTTCAGCATAATGGCACTGCAATTATCCTGCACTTCAATTATATCTTCATCTAGATATTTCTTCTCTTTAGTGAGAAAATTTCAAGCATTTCACATAAGCAGAAATTTGTTGCAGTGTTTCAGTCAAGGGTATAGTAATCTCCAATTTCTTGAAGGTATCCATAAATAACTTTTTGGGTAAGGAAGGGGTTTCTCTATTGTTTTTCCTTTTTTTTTCTCTCATCCTCTTCTTCTTTCTTTTTCTCCCCCTGTTAAGATGTTGGCAAGTGTACCGAATCGTATCAAGTAATATAAAACGGTAAGACCAAGTATCGTATCCCAGAAGACTCATGACACTAAACAATTGTGTAATTGCTTAACTAATTAAGACTTTGAAGAACAATTTTAGGGTTTTTGAATGCAAAACAATAAAGTAAATATGAATGCAAATTGATCAATTGAGGCTAAACATTAGAATGAATGAATGAAGTTGAAAATATGACATGAGTATGTTGTTGGGGTTTAGATTTCACCTAGTTTACTCTCATGCATATAAGAATTCATCTTCTTCATTCAATTGTTAACATCAATTTCTAAATTACTTAAAACCTAATATCTCGACGAAGAAAGCCTATCCTTAATTAGTAGATCACAATGTCTTGTATCACTAGAATTAATTATGCATTACGATTAGAAGCTTAAGATGACCAAAACTCATATCCCTATGTCTAGGCAATATTGCTTTTGGGAGAAAAATCTCCAGATCTAGTTTCCCCATATGTGTCCATATCACGAAAACCAATAATCACGTCATGAATGAGTTAAACATAATAAGCATGGAGCAAAGAAGAATAACCCTAACAATTGATGAAAGAAGCATAAATAAATAAGAATCAATTCAAATACATGAGAGTTTAGAGGTTACATCTTCCCCAACAAAAAATAAGGTTTAGTTCTCCATTATCATGGAGAAACTAGATGAACAATGGAATGGAAGAGATAGAAAAACCCTAAAAACTGAAGAGGAGAGCTCTCACATCCCCAAATCTTCCTCCAAGGGGTGAAAAGTGTGTTTCTATGCTCAAGCCATCAAGAGATACAAATCCTAGGACGTCCAAGTCCTTCAATAGAACAGAAAAATAACAAAAAACAGGTCCAAGCCCACGTTGCTGGCGCTCGTCGCCATAAGTGGGGCGCCCAGGCAGTGTGCGGGAAAAAACCAGTGCTCAGGCACCCTGACTAGGGCGCCCAAGCGCCCTGCACCCCATAAACTGGCGCCCAACGCCCATAATGGGGCGCCCAACAGCCCTGCGTGACCTCCTGTGCTCCTTTTCTAATGCTTTAACTGTCCCTCTTGAATTCCAACTCCTTGATACTTTTGCTCTTCTTCCAAATCATACTAATAACCTACAAAATCAAGTGAAATTAGTGATAAAATCATCAAGTATACCCTCTACTCACTTATTCACAAAACTAAACTAAAAACATGAGTTCAAGCAAGCTTCTAAGTCCAAAAAGGGTTTATTTAATATCAAAATTGAATCACAGATAACGATATTCTCAACCGTTATCACAACCCCAAACTTGAAACTTTGCTTGTGCTAAAGAAAAATGTAACTTGGCTTAAACAAAGTAATCATACTACAATGGTCTAGGACACCAAAAAACATTTTCCTCTAGGACAAGTAAATCACTCATGTTTGCTCATCATAGAAAGATTAGTCAAGATATAATGATGCTTTAGCCAATCAAGCTTCAACTATGGTGGTCACAAAATCAAGACATACATAACAGATGCAACAACCTTATGAATGATTACCAAGTAGACATAATGTTACCCTATGTGCATGGAACTATTCCTCACCAAAGACAATGTTTCACTCAAGCACTCAAAAGTGTTTCACTCAAGCACTCAAAAGTGTTTCACTCTAACTCAAAGGTGTATAATGAGGTGACACTATTACACTCTACCATCGCAATGTCACATGAATCAACTTTGTCTTTCATTTAACCACATTTCAAACACACTCACAAGCAAGTTATCATCACAAGGACTTTTTGTGGCTTGTATGAGGCTAGGCTAAGAAGAAAATTGGTTTTTCTAGACAACAAAATCCTTGAGTTAAGAGAGTGCGTAATTCATTTATTCACATTAACAATCAACTCTCTTTCTTCTTTTCTGTGAGAAACCAATCTTGAACTTATTCCCAACTTTACTTTCATTGAGCTTAACCTTTTCTTTTCTTTCTTTTATTTTCTTTTGCTTTTTGCTTTTGCTCAATGCTTTTTTTTAATGAATTTCACAAAGTTCTTTCCAGTTTCTCACAACCCCAAACTTGAACCATTCTCCATTACCACATACATATACTCTACTCAACTCAAGGTAAGGATTTCAAAAAGGATATTCAAAATTTCAAATTTAGGCTCAAGGTTCAAAGGGTAAAGAGAAACATTGTTCTTTGTTATGTTCACCTATTGATATTGGCTCTAAAGGAGAACAAAACATGGCCTTGATCATATGTAACAAGCAAGCAAGTGATTCAATCATAGAAAATTAGGCAAAATCAATCATGCTTCCAAAGCAATAGCATTCAATCAATCAAAAACTCTTGAGCCCAATCTCTTACAGGTTAACTCAAGTTCCACTATTTCATAACATTCTACCTAACATATTAATCCCAGTTGAAATCATGCATCTGTTTTTAACAAAACTATGAGCAACCACCATCTATGCTTAAAAGCCTCACCAATCATTAACTCAACATGCATCATAAAACAATAAAGCAAACACAAGAATATTACTCATCACAAACAGTTTATCACATTATACCCAACCATTGCATCACAATTCATTAAACCAAGTACATAACAACAAAATAAACACAATTCAAAGAAACATAAAAATCCTGATCCAACAGCATCCATCAGTAGATGCTTTCATCTGAATCTTCCAGCATCGGTCAGTAGATGTGAATCCTTCTCATCAGTATCCATTAGTAGAGGCTGATCTTTCTCATCTTCATCGGTATCCCTCAGTAGATGCCATCAGTATCACCCATCAATAGGCGCTTAATCACATAGCATCCATCAGTAGATGTTGAATCTAGTAGGATCCATCAGTAGATGCTCTCATCTGACTCATCCTAGCATCTATTAGTAGATGTTGTCATTGTTGCAAAGCAAAATCAAATCCACACCACACAAATAATCAATTAAAAAGAAAAAGTCCGAAATTGGGTTGCCTCCCAATAAGCGCTTGTTTAACGTCACGAGCCTGACACCATTAAGCTCAATCTGGATCTTTGATGTTGGTGTTCCTCCTTCCTTCATGAAACCAACAAAATCTCAACAATTTTCTTGTCACCAACTTGACTCTTCTAGAGTAAGGATCATCAATCTCAAAAACTCCCTTTGCTTTAATATCCTTGATAACCCATAACCTGTTCTTGAATTTCACCAGTGTGTCAGGTTTGGGTTCATTACTTTTCACTTCAGGGTGTTGGTGAACCAGTCTTTCTTCCTTCTCTTCGTCCTCTCCTTCCACTTTTATAGAGAAACAGCTAAGTCCCTTTTTGACCAACTTGACAGGTTTTTCATCTGTTGTTTTAAGACTAGTCAGCTTTTCTTGAATTGGCTACCTAGCTTCAAAAACATTGAAACTTACCTCTCTCTCTTGGTCCTTCAATGTTAAAACTCCATCATCTACATGAATGACAACCTTAGTTGTCTTCATGAATGGTCGTCCAAGGATGAGTGATACATCTGCATTTTCCTCCATCTTCATCACTACAAAGTCCACCAGAAATTGGAGTTTATCAATCTTCACCACCACGTCTTCTACCACACCTAAAGGTATTTGACGGACCTATCTGTCAACTGAAGCATCATTCTTGTTGGCTTGACTTCAAGACCACCAATCTTTTCAAGCATAGATAGGGGCATCAGGTTGATGCTAGCCCCTAAATCAATAAGAGTCTTTCCTATATCATAGTTTCCAATGGTACAAGGAATGATGAAACTCCCCGGATCTTTAAATTTTGGAGGGAGAGTCTTCTGCATAATATCATTGCAATTGCCCTGCACTTCAATTGTTTCCTCATCTAGATATTTCTTCTTCTTATTGAGGAGTTGTTTCATGTGCTTCACATAAGCACTAATTTGCTGCAGTGCTTCACTCAAGGGCATGGTAATCTCCAATTGCTTGAAGATCTCCATGAAACGCCCAAATTGTTTCTCTTTTTCAGTCTTTGAAAAGCTTTTTGGATAAGGAAGGGGCGTCTCAATTATTTTCTCTTTTTTTCTCTCATCCTCTTCTCCTTTCTTTTTCCTCTCATCTTTCTCAACTTCTTTTCTCTCAGCCTCTTTTTTTTCTCTCTTTATTCATCTCTTCTTTTTTCACTTAACTAAGCTTTTTCTTTTCTCTCAACTTTTCTCTCATCTAACATCGTGCCACTTATAGTCATAATGGCATTACACTCCTCCTTAGGATTAACTTCAGTATTAGCCCCAAAACTCCTGTTAGGCATCTCCTCCAACTTCTTAGCTAATTGACCAACCTGTATCTCTAAATTTCTAATGGCAGCTTGAGTGCTTTTGTGATCTGAGATTGACACTTGCATGAACTGTTGGAGTGTTTCCTCTAGCTTTGTAGTCCTGTCAAATAAGGAGGGTTGTGGTTGCCATTGCTGCTGTGGTGGTCTATTGAATTGTCCAGTTTGCCCTTGACCCATGCTTGGGTAAGGTTTCCACCCTTGGTTGTAGTTACCTTGGCAGCCTTGATTACCCATAAAATTGACTTCTTCTTGGGTAATAACTTGCATGGCGCATTGTCCATTGATATGATCTCTACCACACAACTCACAAAGTTGATGTTGAGCTTGAGAAACATTCTGCAATTCCTTTGGCAATTGAGAGATTTTCTTCATTAGAGTCTCCAGTTGTTGAGTCATAATCTTATTATGTGCCAACAGAGCATCTTGAGATTACAGCTGTAGAACTCCTTTTTGGTGTAGTTGAGTTCTTTCACTATGCATCTCATTATCATTTGTAGCCATATTTTCAATCAAATCATAAGCTTCCTCTAGAGTCTTGCACTTGATATTACCTCCAGTTGAGGCATCAAGCATCAATTTAGTTTGTGAGCTTAGACCTCCAAGGAATAGAATGACTAATGTAGGTTCATAAAAACCATGAGTATGCGTCTTTCTCAGCAAGCCTTTAAATCGGTCCCATGCTTGACCTAATGTTTCATCCATGCCCTGCCTGAAAGAAGAAATTTCCTGCTTACCTTTGTTCACCTTTGACTGTGGGAAGTATTTATTCAGAAACTTTGCAACCACAACTTCCCACTCAATAAAACTGTTTTTTGGAAAAGAGTTCAACCACATCTTAGCATTGCCTCCCAAAGAGAAAGGAAACAAGCTCAATCTAATAGCTTCATTTGGCACGCCATTGATCTTCATAGTATTGCATATCTCATTGAATGTGGTCAAATACTCATGGATTTTCATGTGCTAATCCATTGAATTGGTTGTTCTTCACTAATAGAATCAAAGCAGGCTTCATCTCCATATTTGCAGCATTAACCATCGGCCTTGCAATGCTATTAAAATGATGACGGCCAATGACTATTGCATAATATGCTAGGGTACGTCTACCATTCCGCTCTTCAGCCATATTTTTTGTCTCTTGGTCAGATCCTTGAGGTGATGGCTGTAAAAGAATCTCAAGAGAAAGGAAAAGTTCTCTGGACGTCCTATTCCTTTTTTTTTCTTATACTCATGTCCAAACCTGCAAGAAGAGGTTTAGAAACTTTTGTGCTTCTAGTCTGAATTGTACCCTGCATACGCTAGAGATCAAAACACTAGAACACCCAATTAGCACATAAAAAAACAAAATTAAAGATAATAAAAAATAAAAAAAAAACAAAAAGATAAAAATAAAATAAAAAAACAAAAAGATAAAAAGATAAAAAAAACAAACAGATAAAAAGATAAAATTAATGATAAAGTCTAATCGGTTAAGAATCACACAAAAGTATAGTTTAAACCACGAGTCCTCGGCAACGACACCAAAAACTTGTTAAGATGTCGGCAAGTGTACCGAATCGTATCAAGTAATATAAAATGGTAAGACCAAGTATCATATCCCAGAGGACTCACGATAGTAAACAGTTGTGGAATTGCTTAACTAATTAAGACTTTGAAGAATAATTTTAGGGTTTTTGAATGCAAAACAAGAAAGTAAATGTGAATGCAAATTGATCAATTGAGACTAAACACTAGAATGAATGAATGAAGTTGAAAATATGAGATAAGTATGTTGTTGGGGTTTAGATTTCACCTAGTCTACTCTCATGCATATAAGAATTCACCTTCTTCATTCAATTGTTAACATTACTTTCTAAATTACTTAAAATCCGATGTCTCGACGAAGAAAGTCAATCCTTAATTACTAAATCACAATGTCTTGTATCACTAGAATTAATTATGCATTACGATTAGAAGCTTAAGATGACCAAAACTCATATCCCTATGTCTAGGCAATACTGCTTTTGGGAGAAAAATCTACAGATCTAGGTTTCCCGGTATGTGTCCATATCATGAAAACCAATAATCATGTCATGAATGAGTTAAACATAACAAGTATAGAGCAAAGAAGAATAACCCTAACAATAGATGAAAGAAGCATAAATAAATAAGAATCAATTCAAATACATGAGAGTTTAGAGGTTACATCTTCCCCCAACAACAAAAAAGGTTTATTTCTCCATTATCATGGAGAACTAGATGAACAATGGAATGGAAGAGATAGAAAAACCCTAAAAATTGAAGAGGAGAGCTCCAACATCCCCAAATCTGCCTCCAAGGGGTGAAAAATGTGTTTCTATGCTCAAGCCATCAAGAGATACAATCCCTAGGACGTCCAAGTCCTTAAATAGAACAGAAAAATAATAGAAAACAAGTCCAAGCCCACGTTGCTGGCGCTCAGCGCCCTAAGTGTGGCGCCCAGGCGATGTGCGGGAAAAAAAATGGCGCTCAAGCGTCCTAACTACGCCCCCCAGCACCCTGCACCACATAAATTGGCACCCAACGCCCATAATGGGGCGCCCAGGCGCCTTGCGTGACCTTCTGTGCTCCTTTTATGATGCTTTAATTGTCCCTCTTGAATTCCAACTCCTTGATACTTTTGCTCTTCTTCCAAATCATACTAATAAGCTACAAAATCAAGGGAAATTAGTGATAAAATCATCATGTATACTCTCTACTCACTTATTCACAAAACTAAACTAAAAACATGAGTTCAAGCATGCTTCTAAGTCCAAAAAGGGTTGATTTAATATCAAAATTGAATCATTGATAACAATATTTTCAATCGTTATCACCCCGTCATCATTCTCACCTTCTTTCTTTTTCTCAACCTCTTATTTTCTCTCTTCATTCATCTCTTCTTTTTCACTCAACTCGTCTTTCTCTTTTCTCTCAATTTCTCTCTCAACTAACATCTCGCCACTTATAATCATAATGGCATTACATTCCTATTTAGGGTTAACTTTAGTATTAGCCTCAACATTATTCTTAGATTTCGCCTCCAACTTCTTAGCTAGTTGACCAACCTGTATCTCCAAATTTCTTATGGCAGCTTCTATGCTTTTATGATTGTAGATGTACACTTGCATGAACTATTGAAGTGTGTCCTCTAGATTTGTAGTCCTATCATATAAGGAGGGTTGTGGTGATATTGTTGTTGTGGTGGTATGTTAAATGCCCAACTTGTCCTTGACCCATGCTTGGGTGAGGTCTCTAACCTTGGTTGTAATTACCTTGGCGGCCCTGATTTCCCATATAATTCACTTCTTCTTGAGCGTTGGCTTGTGTTAACACTTCGGCAAGTGTACCGAATCGTATCAAGTAATAAATATTGGTAACACCAAGTATCGTTTCCCTAGAGACTCACGGCCTAAACATTCATATGGTTTCTTGATTAATTAGGACTTGTAAACGAAATCATTGTGTTTATATTACGGAAAATAAATATGAATGCAAGTGTTTATCAATTGGATTGAAAGATGCAAAGGTGATTGATATAAAATATGGAATGATTATGTTGTTGGGGTTTCCGACTTATCCTATCCACTCTCATGTATTTATGAATTCATCTTCTTCATTAATGTTAATGCCACTTTCTAATTTACCTTAAACCCGATGTCTCGATGAAGAAAGTCTACTCCTAATTACTAGTTCACAATATCTTGTATCCCTAGCAATTAATCATCAATTACATTCGCACAAAAGCTTAAAGGCAACCAACCCTCTTATCCCTATGTCTAGGTGATATTGCTTTTGGGAGAATTTCCCCAGTTCTAAATTTTCTCGTATGTGTCCATAGTGACAAAATCAATAATCATGCAATTGAATGAGTTAAACAAAGCATGCATAGAGTGTAGAGGAAAAACCCTAACAATTAATGAAGTAAAGCATTTTATAATAAGAATCAATTCAATACATGAGAGTTTCAAAGGATTACATCGTTTCCCCAACAATGGAGGTTTAGTTCACCATAGACATGGTGAAAATAGATGAAAATAATGAAAAGAATGAAAGATAGAACCCTAAAAGTTGAAGATCGGAGCTTCCACATCCAAAATCCGCCTCCGAGAGGTGAAAGGAGTGTATTTTCGCCTCTTTCCGTCCAAAGATATGAACCCTAGAACGTCCAAAACCTTAAATAGTTCATTAAAAATATAGAAAAATAGCCCAAGCCTACGTCGTTAGCGCTCAGCGCCCCAAAAGGGCGCTCAACGGTAGTTGTGACACTCTTTTTGACCCTCAGCGGTGGCGCCCAAGCGTGAAACAGTGCTTTCAAAACCAAACTGGCACTCAGCGGTGGCGCCTAAGCGTGAAATAGTGCTTTCAGAACTAAGTTGGCGCTCAGCGGTGGCGCCCGGGCGTGAAACGGTGATTGCATTTCTAGACTGGCGCTCAGCAGTGACGCCCAGGCGTGAAATAGTGGTTCTTCTATGTGCCACTTTTCCAACCTTTCATGACTCCAACTCCTTGCTACTTCAACTTCTTCATCCAATTCATCTTAATTCCTGTCAAAACAAGGAAAAATAAACATAAAACCCATTCAACTCTCTTATTCTCATAACTTAATCAAAAACGTGATTTCAAGCTAGTTTTTAAGTCATAAAGGGTGTTTTTAATATCAAAATT